GCTACTAGGAGCAAGGACGCTACTAGGGGCTCCTGGCATCGCTACTACGAGCAAGGATGCTACTAGGGGTTCCTGGCATCGCTACTAAGAGCAAGGACGCTACTAGCGGCTCCTGGCATCGCTACTAGGAGCAAGGACGCTACTAGGGGCTCCTGCCATCGTTACTAGGAGCAAGGACGCTACTAGGGGCTCCTGGCATCGCTACTAGAAGCAAGGACGCTCTAGGGGCTCCTGGCACCGCTACTAGGAGCAAGGACGTCTAGGGGCCTGGCATCGCTACTAGGAGCAAGGACGCTCTAGGGGCTCCTGGCATCGCTACTAGGAGCAAGAGGGGCTCCTAGCATCTAGGAGCAAGGATGCTACTATCTAGGAGCAAGGACGCTACCAGAAGCTCCTGGCATCGCTACTAGGAGTAAGGACGCTTTAGGGGCTCCTGGCATCGCTACCAGGAGCAAGGACGCTACTAGGGCCTGGCATCGCTACTAGGAGCAAGGACGCTTTAGGGGTTCCGACGCCACTAGGGGCCCTGGCATCGCTACTAGGAGCAAGGATGCTTTAGGGGCTCCTGGCACCGCTACTAGGAGCAAGGACGCTACTAGGGGCTTCTGGCATCGCTACTAGGAGCAAGGAGGCTACTAGGGGCTCCTCCTGGCATCGCTACTAGGAGCAAAGACGGTACTAGGGGCTCCTGGCATGGCTACTAGGAGCAAGGACGCTACTAGGGGCTCCTGGCATCGCTACTAGGAGCAAGGACGCTACTACTAGGGGCCGGGCTCCTGGCATCGCTACTAGGAGCAAGAAGGCTACTAGGGGCTCCTGGCATCGCTACCAGGAGCAAGGGCGCTATTAGGGGCTCCTGGCATCGCTACTAGATCTATATAGGAGAAAAGACGGTACTAGGAGCTCCTGGCATCGCTACTAGGAGCAAGGACGCTTTAGGGGCTCCTGGCATCGCTACTAGGAGCAAGGACGCTACTACTAGATCTACTAGGAGCAAAGACGGTACTAGGGGCTCCTGGCATCGCTACTAGGAGCAAGGACGCTACTAGGAGCAAGGACGCTACCAGGGGTTTTTGGCATCGCTACTAGGAGCAAGGACGCCGCCAGGGGCTCCTGGCATCGCTAGTAGGAGCAAGGACGCTACTAGGGGCTCCTGGCATCGCTACTAGTACTGGGAGCAAGGACGCTACTAGGGCTCCTGGCATCGCTACTAGGAGCAAGGACGCTACTAGGGGCTCCTGGCATGGCAACTAGGAGCAAGGACGCTACTAGGGGCTCCTGGCATCGCTACTAGGAGCAAGGACACTACTACGGGCTCCTGGCATCGCTACTAGGAGCAAGGACGCTACTAGGGGCTCCTCGCTACTAGGGGCTCCTGGCATCGCTACTGGGAGCAAGGACGCTACTAGGGGCTCCTGGCATCGCTACTAGGAGCAAGGACGCTACTGGGGGCTCCTGGCATCGCTACTAGGAGCAAGGACGCTACTACAGGCTCCTGGCATCGCTACTAGGAGCAAGGACGCTAGGGGCTCCTGGCAGCGCTACTAGGGGCAAAGTCCTGGCATCACTACTGGGAGCAAGGACGCTACTAGGGGCTCCAGGAGCAGGTAACGAATCCAACTCCAAACGCACCAGCATCACGGCGCACTTGAAGAGACCCTCTTCCACCAGAATGTGACTCTCACCGCTCTCAAGGCCCAAAAGCGACAGAACGATCCGATCGATCCGTCCGTGCCTGGCGGGCTGAACTTCTGGGTGCGCCTTGCGGCGGTTCAAGCCGTGCAAACACATCACCGGCCATTCCAAGTGTTGTGCCTGCCTTTCCAGGTGCTAAACTGTTCGAGTCCATGATAGAGGTGCTAAACTTCTCCAAACTTCTTGCACTGCACAATTCACAGTTGATTCAAGGTGATTTTTACCTCTGAATATCGAGTCTTTGATCGTGCACATCCCGGAGAGCTAGAGTTACGCATCCAATCCAAAAGGTGGCATCGAACCTGGAAAGGACTATGTTGTAAGAACAACTTCTTGTCTCGAATTCAATGGAAGCAACCACGAGTCGGGTCACTGTTTCCTGATTTTCATCCGTCGATGTCTATCTTCTCTTTCCGGCGGATTCCGGGCCTGGCGCTTCTTGGCGATCAAGGCCACGGAACGGGCCGCCATCCTTGGAGCATCCGCAAAGACCTGGCGCTTTCGGAACCGGGGACGACCGCTTAAGGAGGAGGAGTGGATGCCGGATGCCGTGCTTGTGCCAGCAAGGAGGTAAGTACAGTAACAAGGATGAGCTACAGTAATCCTTGTGGAGTATGGGATGCCTCAAGAAGCCGTGCAGGAGGCATGGAAGGCATTGATGTAAGGCAAGACAAATATCTGGCCAACACCAAGTTGTTTGGGTCTGCTAGTAGATGAAAAACTGTTCAACGTGACTACTCGCACAGTACTGTCTTTTTGAACTTGTTCCAAAAGTCATGGTTAAAAAGAAGGTAAGAAATCTTCTGGTTAACGAATCAGCACAGCTTGCAAAGCATGCGTATGCATGCGTGGCCTTTAGAGCTGCTTTGTGATGAAGGGTGAACCAAGTATTCAAGACGAAAACTCCATCAAAAAGCCAACTAGACTATCTAGACTCCTACAGGCACAGGTCTTTGGAGGTGAAGCCACCATCCCCGGTGAAAACAGGGTCGCTGTCATGCACCTCACGCTCGCTGTCGCTCACCGGGCTCATGGTACGGTTGAAGTCGGCTGGCCTGGTACGGTTGAAACAGCGGGTTTGGGGAGGTCGGATCTGCTTGAAGAAATGCCGAGGGTTGGAAGACCGGATGGCCCGGAAGACCAAGGTCATCTGCCTTAAACAAACTTGGGAGCTACCTGTCTTGTGATCCAACCAAAAGGAAGCGCCAAAACGGCTTTGCTTTCTGACTTCGAACGGCTCCAGCGCCAAAGTCGCGGCTTCGAACCGCCTAAAGAATGAGCGGCGCTCCATCCTCACCGGCCTCATAAAACGGATGACAGTGGGACAGCGGACGGGCCGACTCTGAAAACCAAAAAGATTTCTTGAAAAACAGCATGTTGCATCTGTGTCGGAGAAACGAGAAAACGAAGCTTCGGCTGGTGACCCCACAGCAGTCTGAGAATTCAGCTTGTTGATCGCTTTGATCCTCTAGACAGTTTTGAACCATAAAAAGGCTGGGATTCGGCGGGCAGTGTCGAGCAGATTTTTGAAGACAGGAGAGTCGAACGACGGAAGACGAAACTGCTGGTCGCGGATTCAAGCGATTTGGCAAGTGCCGTTTCGGCCAAAAATATTTGAATATACTCTTGTACCTTTTCTACCGATGCAAACCCGCGTAAGTCATGAGTGTGATTATGCAAGTGACTTAGTGCCAGCTGCATAGCCCCTTGCCGCGGTGTCTTCTTGCGTTCCCAATCCAGTCGGAGCTTCCCCAACGTTCAAAAGCATCAAAGCCAATCAGCCCAATCCGCCCAATCCCACCTGCTCATGGCGGCCTTTGGTCACCTCGGGGAGATCCACCCTGGTCATGAGGTGAGAGGAGGTGCCTTTCTGTTGCCAAACGATCACTGGATGCTGATGAGATGGAGACATCATTTACATGATTTCCAATAGAGAGAAGGATTTTCCATTGGGGCTCTTGAAATGATGCAAGCCGTGTGAGAGTAACAACAAAATCCCTGTGTCTATTCTTCGCAAAACCAACTCAAGCTTCTTTTCGCTTCCTGGGTTGGCTGGCAAGGTAGTGCGGCGACTCGTAGAGAAGAAGCCTTGATCATGCGACGACACGGAAGTTCGCCCAACTGGCCATCTATCGCCCGTGGGTGTGCACTATGTAGTATCTAGTATAGTGGGTATGAAAGGAGCAAGGACGCTACTCGGGGCTCCTGGCATCACTACTAAAATATAAATTACCTATGTAAGGGTATGTACTATCTAGTGGGTCGACCACATTCACATAGCTGGAAAGGATGAACCAAAAGATCCTCCCCAGGCTGACTGCACGCTTGGCTGGGCGCCCGTCACTGCAAAGGGGAGGATCAACAATGCTGGGCCTCGGCACAGGTTGCAGATCCCCCTGCCGGAATCATTGTGAATGTGAATCATCACCCTATATCATCACCATCATCATGATCTGATCTGCATAAATGTGATTCATATTGTAGTGAGTATTAAAATGTATCACAATATATAATACTCTGTACAACCATATAAAGTGGGTGTCATGTCATAACATGTTGTGGCTTGGATGGGCACACTGCAGTGCCCCCCGTAGCTCTGTTTCCCTCCACCACTCGTGCACCCCTTCGGCTCCCACTCACAGCTAGAGCAGTGACATAGCGCCAGCTTTCCTGCGAGGAGTAGCCAGTCTTGATGGTGCCAAAGGATACAGAGATAATTTCTGTGGTCTAGTTTAGTAAGTTCACGTGGTTCAGCAAGTAATCCATTCTTCTCCCATTGCACCAGAAATTTCTGCGATCCCTGATCCACAGCTCTGCCTTTGCAAGATGAACTCCAGAGACGGCCCCCAGCTGTGGACAAAATGAGACCAGGTTCTTTGGTTTCTTAAGGATTTCAACTAAAAGGTGCCAAGATGTTCGGAATCCAAGAATGCTGAGGCTGACGGCTATGAACTGCAGCAAGGTCCTCCTCTGAGCTTTGCTTGAGATCCTTCAGGAAAGCCCAAAGGAGCCAGGCCTCAAAATAGACATGAGAATCGCAGTTGACCCAGAAACTTCATCTATATCGTTGGATATATGCTATCGGTACAAAAAGCCAAACAGCATCCCCCAGGTGCTGGACGGCATAGATCTCACCCAAAGTGAAGAAGAAATTGTTGACCTCAGCTTCTGACGGACGTTGTTTGGATGTTGTGGCAAGCTTCTCATCAATCATGACTAGGGGGCCACCACCAAAAGCATTGCTGAAATGCAGAATTATCTTCTTTTTCAGTCAACACATCCCACCAATCACTCACTACCTACCCATGTGGATTGACTCATCGGCTAGCAGCTACACCTTAGGAGAAGACGTTCACCATGTGCCCACGCCATGCTTTTGGACAAATCTCCACCTGGCGGATCGAGAAATCTTCCGATCGATCGAGTGCGTTCGGGGAACCTGCACTCGTTCTGCGTAGCTGCTTGGGGATGTGCAAACGTTCACTTGCGCAGGTCGTCGTTGAAGTGTGTCCTTGTGCCTTGCCACCGTGCAGTTCCGAGCAAGGCAGAAGACAATTAAGAAGAGCCACAAGCAGAAGCAGGTCAATCTGTATAGTATATATAACACGTCTATACACGTCTTTGAAATAACCCTGCACTTGCCACAGGTGTTCGGAAGACCTGTTCTACAATCCGGGGTGATTTCATAGCAGCAGAGCCAACCTGCAAGGTCAAGGACGGTCCCATTCCAAAGCCATAACATAGCCTGGCACTTTTGGAGGCAGAAAAGAACTGCCGAGTTGCCGTGTTGTTGCCTCTGCTTTCTGCTTTCTGTCAGGGTCTAAGGTCCAAACCCAAAGAAGAATCGGGCCAGCAACATGGAGGTGGGCCTTGCAGAAGCCAACGCCATCTTGCTAAGCTTCAACCAAAACAGATGGTTTACCTACCTGCTCTTGTCTAACCACCCACAGCCGAACCAACAGCCGGGCCAACGTGCCCAAGAATCGGTCGCCCTGCCGGTCCCGCTCATGCCGAGTGTCCCGGTGCTCGCCGCCGAGCTGAAGCCACAAATCACCAAGCCAAACTCAGCGGTTTTGGGCGAAGAAACACCGGCAGGCGCCATGGGCGAAAAGGAACGCACGTGTTGAAAAGACCTAATGAATCTAACTATGAATCTCTTACCATGCAACAACCTAATAGCGATGGCCTCCAACCTAACAAATCTCCCAGTCGTTTCAATGCGTTGAACCCACGACGCCGCACCACATTCACTCTAAATCAGGTGCCGAGCATGACAGCAAAAGGACTCATGTTGACAGACGATGTTTCTGCTGGTTCCTCCAATTCAACGCCATCACCCGCATCCAATTCAAGTCGCTGAAAAAACAAAACAACATCTGTCTGAGATTCTGAGTGTTTGGCATATGCCATCAGCACCGACACTCGTCGGCCATAGGTGTCCGCAGCGGGTCCACCAATCTGAACGACACTTCCGGCGAGGTCCGTCGTTCGTCCGGAGCGGTCCGAGGGGTTCGCTCGAGAGTCCATCGCACCGAATCGACCTGTAGAATCCGAGTCGACCTTCTCGACCTGTTGGCCACTGAAGCTAATAGCAAGGCACCTGTTACTACTAGTAAGGCACCTGCTACTACTAGCGTGGCACCTTGTTACTGCTGGAAGGTGACTCTTCAAGAACGACCTTTTCTTCTCACCAATTGCATCGACTGGTCCAAACGCCAACGAGACGTGTGTCGAAACGGGTGGACCCGCTGAGGCCACCCGCCAAATTGCCGAAGAAGACACCGATGAAAATCACTGACATCATGCCACCTAAGAAACGCGGAAGGAGAAACACCGAGATCTCATCCTCACATGCAAAATTGGAAGGTCAGTGTGCAGCGACATCACCAAAGCTCCCTTGCAAGCGGTTTCACACATTCAGGAGAATGTGTGGATGTCGAAACACAGATTGCATCCAAAACCTTTCATCTGCGTGGCGAAAGCCAAAATCAAAAGAGAGCAAATCATGGCGAGGACGAGCACGGATTGAGCAGCGAAAGCAGCGAACTGCATCGTGCCCCATCGGTGGTCACCCCCCTCATGTTTGAATACTGAACAGCGTCATCTTGAGGCGTTCAGAGCTCTTTACAAATCTCCGCTGTATATCTAGCAGAATCTACCATCCTTGCTTTCTCGCATTTGTGCGGGAAGCGCAGGATGAGGCTGAAATCTGGCCATTTCCGCCCGTGACATCCACTTGTGGTGCCAGGATTCACAGCTTTGGGAGCTTCAGCTTGCGAAAGTAGTGGCAGCACAAAGTCGGTACAGCTACCCTATTGCAAGTCATAATCTGTCAAGATACCCAAAGCTGAAAACCCGTCGAATTCAGCGGCTGGTCAGACTGACTTTCGCACCATGCATTCGCGCTTCCGGATTGGCTGCACGTCAGTTCGTGGCAACACCCTTAAAGGAAAACCTGTCCGAACACTCGAATAGGAAGTGGGTGCGTCTCAAAAAACTGGGGAGCCGCCAAGCGTAGCAACGAAAAGAATGGGAACAACAAATAGTTTGCAATAGTTTGCCGGTTTGAAGCTTTTGGAGATCCCTGGTTTGAGACATACCCACATCCTGGCGCATGAAGGCCTACACTTATGGCCTTCACGTCCTACGGCGCCTCCGCTCAGACGCGCTCCTCCTCGTCCTTGGCTGCCTGCTTGGCACGCAGCCGTCGCATGTCACGAGGATAGCTCCAATGTAGAAGGGTGTAGGCCGCTAGGGTAATCATCCAAGGAATGCAAATAGTTGCAGCCATTGCCTGTCCAAGTGCCCTGGCGGAAGAGAGAGACTTTCCGGACATCTCTTCAGCCCCAAATTTGTAGCCGAAAGCAAAGGCCAAGGTGGAAACCAGAGATGGACCAATGGCATTTGCCAAGGAATTTTCCATGGCACATTCCCATGCCATGACCTTGCTTCGGTCGCTGGCAGGCACAATGTCTGAGAGAATGGGGAAGTTGGTGCCAGACTGTGCCCATGAGCCTAACAAGCCAAATGCTGCAATGAGAGCAAAGTAGGCACCAAAAGTGCCCTCACCTGGCGGGATGCCATAGAACTGCAGAAAGACCATAGGGAGTCCAATGGCCACGGTGATTTGAGCACTGAGAGGCCTTCCGTGATATCCGAAACGTCTGGCCAGGCAGTCTGCGATCATGCCACCAATGCTGTTGCCGAAGACCCCAGCCACAGTTCCCTCAGCGGCCAAGATGCTGGCCTGCCAATCTTCCAAACCACAGAACTTGAAGAACAGAAGATTGTTGCCCATGACACTCCAAGGGATTGTGCCAAAAACTCCTTGCATGATCATCACACAGAAGGTGGGGATGCGCAAGAAGCCCAAGACGGTACACAACTCTGTGCGGACGGCTGCACAGCCTTTGGCTTTCGCGGATGCATCCAACTCATGGTGAGGTTCCGCTAGGAAACCGGCCAACCCTGCTGCCACAATAAAGGCAACCAAGCCGGCACCACCAAAGAGAAAGCGCCATCCAGGGATATCCCCCACGAATTTGTTTGCCACATTTCCAGCAATGAGCAATGAGCAAAACATGCCAATGAGCAAAGCACTTTGCACCCGACCAAAGACCTTGCCACGTTTGTTGTCGCTGGTGAGATCGGCAATCAGGCCATTACAAACGGGTCGTAGGGATGCAAGGAAGAAGCCACTCATGCCCCGCAAGAACATCATGACCCAGAAGTTGGGGACAAAGGCAAACACCGTGACTGCCAGGCCCTCTCCAATGGCTCCCAGCATCAAAATGGTCTTCTTCTGCAAGGTGCCACGATCAGCCAGGATTCCCCAGAATGGGGCCGCCAAGTTGGTCAGAACCATCTGCACTGTGGTGAGGACTGCAAAGTGGCCCAATTGCAAGCCCAAATCTCTTTGCAATGCGAACTGACAAGCAGGGACCAATTGGGTATCCATGCCCTCCAAAGCACTCACACAACAAAGCCAAAGAAGGATGATGGTACCGGGCTCACGCTCCTCTTCAGGGCTTGGCTGCTCTTTCTCGAGACCTAGCTCCCCAGGGATCTTCGCTTCAACGACCATGTTCTCGGCCTTGTTCTCCCCAACTGGATCAGCAACTGAGGTCAACTCCATGGCTGTTGGGTAGTCACAAAGGCGGTTTACACTCCTGGAATCCTAAAAATCTCGGCACCAATAAGTCTGCTGATCAAAGCTCCCAAGAAAAGTTTGCCTTTTGGACTTGGGGGGTCCTCACCATTCCGCAAGTTCCATTCACTGTGAGATCTGTCGGACCGTCTGACAACACCCAGACTGGCTCACATGTTTGTAAACATCGTTTTGACCCAAAGTGTGTCAGGTCACATTGTGTCACTGTTTCTCTCCAAGGTTCTGGCCCTTCAAGGCAGGTGAGAGCTCCCAATCCTGATTCGGTCGGTCGAGCAGTAAAATTGTGTCCCAAAGCATCATAGTCGAGACCTGCAAAACACATGCCTCAGTTTGCCTCATAGATTTATAAGAAGTGGGACCGTACACGCCATGAAGCAGGAGCTCACAAGAGGTCCTGGATAATGTCTGCAGGTCATTCCAGGCACTTTGGTTGAATTCATTCCGTCCAAAAAGCTCTCTATGAAGACTATGATGCCCGGCCTGCTGCAAGATGGAGAGCACCGCGGATGAAATGAGGATTTCTGCACCATCAGCCCTCAGAGCATGGCCAGCTCATCAGTCGGTTGTTTTTGTTGGGAACAGGACAGCGGACTGGGCATTGTGGTCGACCGGAGCCATCACATCCTGGAGCCATCAAGCGGCTCGTGGCGGTTCGGAACAGGCTCGGTACAGGCTCGGTACAGGTAGATCTGGTGAATCGGTGCTATGATGTGCTATGCACCGATTCACCACCCGCCACCACAAACACACCCCTGGCTAAGCTCCTGGCAGCCTCACGCCGCTGACGAGCAACTGCTGCCTCAAGGGATTCAGAACCCTTATGATGGTTGATTGAACATCCGAGGTGGCTTGGACGTTCAAGCTTCGAACAACAACCACCGCCCTCTGAGCCGAGCTTCAATAGTTGGAAACGTCCGAGGCCAATGTCCTGTACCACCCAGCAATGGTAAAAGGGAATCCAGAAGATTCTAGATGCGCGACAAGGCGATTCTTTCTTCAGAAAGACCCTGGTGCAAAAGTGACACAAACTCAAGTCCCTCCTCGGTGATCTCGTCGAGATCCAACATTGTTCCTCAGTGATCTCATCTGAACTATGCAGCTGATGGGAGTGTCACGACTACGGGTGAGAGGTTACAGCTCACCATGGTGGTTTGGAGCGGAAACGGCGAAATGGTGCGAAATACATCACTGTGTGCCTATGCACGATGCGTCTAAAATGTCTAAAGGAGAGACAAACATCATCAATTATATAATTCATTACCTTCAGAACATTTCAGAACCTGGCTTTTCAATTGCGCCGGACTTGGATCTTTTTCTCGTGCCAAGACATCAGAAATCGGCCTGTTCATCGAAGGAGGCAGACGGGCTTCGCCTGTCGTGCGGCCTTCCGATTCCCGGCCCTCGCTGTGGCCCTGGCGGCTTTCTTGCGGGAGACAACTGTGGCGAGCTGGAGAGGTGCCTGCGTGATGGACCCAAACGAAGAAAACGCCAACACAACCTGGGAGTCGTTCTTGGAAGACAGTGATCCTCTACAAACCAGTGGTTTTGTGGGTCCATGTTGGTCTTCGAAGGATATCATGACAGATTGGCCTTCCTCACACAGCGGGGCCATGCGAACGCCCGATAGACTCGTCCTACCCCCAGAAGCGCCTGGAGGTTTTCAGGCGCCGCCCACCGCCCCGGTCTGGAGCCGCAACAGTCACAACGACCAGGTCAGACCTGCTGACCACATCGACGTCCAAAGGTCATACCTGCTGACTGGGCTCTGGGGAATCCGGAACCCATTAGTCTGCCACCTGCCATTGAGGGGAGCTCCAACACCTGGGAGCTCTACAGTAAGCTCTACAGGAAACACAGGAAGCGCGAACAAAGGCTACAGCTATGGTCAAAATTTGGCTGACATGACAGCTGTGTATAATGATGTTATATGATGTTCCACAACAACCCTCATCACGCACATGCCGGCCCAGGATGCAACTCCTGGTCCTGCAAACAGTATCAATGCAAATTGATTCAGCACTACAAATAAAGGCGCGGTGCAAGTAGGAACTGCAAAGCTGTTTGGATGCCAGATGCCATGCACAGCGCGGAATGATCATTGTAACACGCTAGCCACTTGAACATCAGTAATGCAGAAACGCATCCCAAAAAATAGATATAAACATAAAAGATTGCGATGGTGTCGTTGTGGACTGTTCCACCGTGACTGTGTTGAATACTTGTTAAATGATGATTTTGAAGGCGGGTTCCTCGCACTATCCCTTTTTCACATGTTGATCGGCACCTCGTGCAGTGTTCACATGCAGCAACTCCTCAAGCAGTGTCGACGCCACTCGTGCCGGCGTAGAAGGAGCCACGCCACGCGCAACGTCCGAAGCAACGTGGAAGGTCCGTGTCCAGCGGCCTTTGGTAAGGGACAGCTTGGTGTTTCCTTCTGTGAAAAAGGCACTGACAGTGGAGAGATTGGCTGGTGGTCAATCTCTTCTTCTTGGCCTGTGATCCACACTGTTGCTGCAGACAAGCTCTGAATCAAAATCGCAATGTCGAAGACAATCCAACGAAGGGCGACTGAAAAAACACGCAACAAGCCCGTGATTGAACCAACCCATAGTCTCCACCTGCACCCTGGCACTGTTCAAAGAAGGATCTCAAAACATCAAGCAAGCCAATGAGATTGTCAGGAGCTTCAGCAATAACTCACCACTCCCAAACAAGCCCGCTTAGCCTCCAGTGTCTCCGATCGCCTCTCCAGTGTCTCAGCCTGGACAACAAGACCTTGAGCGGCCACTTGTGCCCATACACAAGCACACAAAGCACACAAGTCACAAGACACTCAGAGCAGCAACGATTGATGTTTGGGCCCAAATCGGACAACTCCTTCGCTGCGCGTCATGCTGCGGCTCGGATCGATTCTGAATTGGCATCGTTCTGCGCGTTTCGGCCGCGCAGAAGTCGTTCTGCATTCAAGTGTTTTGAGATTCACTTGGGAATTGCTGAGCACAAAGTCAGGAGACGAAGTGGGCTCTGCTCAACATTTAATATGAATATGACTGAAAGGATGCACGTAGGCCGTGCAAAGTGTCGCTGAGCAAAGCTGTCCGGGCGTTTGAGATCAGGCTGCTTCGGGCGCTTGCATACAATGTACCTGACAGCTCGATGATCGTTACCTCGAAGTTGCCTTGCTCAGACCAGGCACTGGAAGACAAGTGTCCAATATGAGCTGAGGCTGTTATATAACCTGTACCACCACACCCCAAGAAAGTGATTCCTTTTCGCCGAAATTAATATATAATATATACTTTCAGCTGCAACAAAACAACATGGCTGACACGTGGGGGATGTACACTGGTATCATAAACTGTCAGTGATATCATGATATCCTACACATACTCTGCTTTTGCCTCGCAGTCACACAACTGCCACCGACAGAAAGTATCAGAAAATAGCATACTCACCGTCGCATTTGACAACAGGCCAGAAAGTGTGGGCAAGCTCACAGTGGCGGCTAAGTAAACTATATTAGGCGCAAAAAAAGATCAGACTAAAGGGCAGCCCTTTTGCGTGGGGTCACAAAGCCAGCGACTGCAGGCGCCGCTGGGATTCAAGTCTAACCCACCTATGCTTACATGCGTAACACATTGCTGGCTCTGGGAAGTGCGCTTGGTTCTTAGATTATCAAAGAAATCCCTTGGCGGTGAGCAGTGGATAGCAGAGTTGGTAAATCCAGTTTCAACTTAAGACACATTTGGGGGCACTCCTGATTGAAGTAACCTGCATAAATGCACCACCTACTAGTGATGGCCTTCAACCTACTAGCGATGGCCTCCATGAATGCACCACCCCAACAAATCAGGCGATGATCACCGCTTCACCGCTGGTGCTTTTTCGCTTCACCGCTTCTCTCTCGGCGGCCGCGCGGGCGGGGTCCACTCCATGGCCACTTCGCTGCTGACCGGGCGCTTCGGTAATCGGAGGCGACACGGCACATCCAAGAGGGCCAACGTGAAAAGATGTGAAAATCAACATGTCTGGGAGGGCTACCAACACATGTAAAACATGTGTTTCCAAGGATTGGGAAGCGTCCGCCATCCGACTGTTCACCGAAAAGGTGTGTTTGGTTGGTGGAAGCAAGGAGACTCTTGATTCATAAACCCCCATATGAAGAGGATGTCCATTTCAATTGGGAGGGTTTACTACTCAAGAGTCTAAATTAACGAGGGTTCATGTTGCACTCCAACAACTCCATGACCCACTTCTCAGTCACTGCCGAAACCCCCCGCTACCGGCCGAGGAAAGGAGCGGTTTCGATGAAAATGCGGCCGGTCTTGAAAAAACGAAGGACGACATGGTCGTGGTTCATGACACCGTCTCCAGGCCGTGAATCGTGGAACTCCGTCATTTGCGGAGACGATGTGACTGCCAATTTTGGGGGGACGATGTGACAGCGGCCCATGCCTCGGCCCCCCTCAGTCAAGTGTTCCCTGGGACGATGCTCAGTAGCACATGCCACGACCATGTCAAACCGAGGACGCCACGCGAGTTTCTCTCGCGGTGAATGCACGAACACCTCTTGTGCAAATTGGCATGGTTTTGCCAGCCAAGCATCTCTTCCCACTTGACATCTTTGCACTTGACAAGGGTGCACGCTAAAGTTCAACAGTTTACCACACAAACATCAATAAGACCTACAGAATCCTACACACACCTACTTACACATAGACGTTCATTTGGCTTCCCATGCTTACCAGTTTTGTCTACAAGCTTTGGTGCTCTCTGCGCATTTTTGTCACACGGTCTTCCAGACTGCGACCTTGCAACAAAACAGCACACAATGGAGCTGCTCTTCTCACCACTGGGACACCTTCAACATTGAACCCATTGGGTCCGCAACTGTGGTCACTTGGCGCCTGGCTTTCTCCACATGGGCGAACACGTCTGAACACATCAAGACCTATCAAAACCTGTCAAAAGCATTTGTGGATGTCGCAGATGGAACTATCAACTTTCGCGAGTAGCCGGGGA